TATTAGATGGAAAACCACTATGAAACAATGCTTAAAAAGAATAATTTATCTTTATGTCATATGTTGTGTAAATGTTTTATCTGTGTTTTAATAAAGTTTATAAATTTTTAATAATAATAAAAAAAAGAAGAAGTACACTCAGAGGCTCCAACTGGTCCAGAATGCGGCCGTGGGGGTGATTATGGGGGCGACTCAGCACATCCATGTAACACCTCTCCTGCGCGAGCTGCACTGGCTCCCGGTGGTCTTCCGGGTGCGATTCAAGGTGTTGGTTACCACCTTTAAAGCGCTCCATGGCTTAGGACCTGGGTATGTACGAGATTGCCTTCTGCCACCGATAGCCTCCCACTGGCCAATACGCTCCCACAGAGAGGGACTCCTCAGGGTGCCGTCGGCCAAACAATGTCGACTGGTGACACCCAGGGGGAGAGCCTTCTCTGTGGGGGCACCAGCCCTCTGGAATGAACTGCCCCCGGAGATTCGCATGATCCCCGATCTTCGTACCTTTCGCCATGCCCTTAAGACCCTTTTGTTCCAACAGGCCGGGCTGGCTTAGAATATGAATTTTAAATTGGGTGTTTGTAGTTTTTAATATAAGGGCCAAATTTTTAATATATTTTAAACTCTTTTTTAAATTGTGTGGGTATATTTTGTTTTAATATGGCTGTATACCACCCTGAGTCATTTGGGAGAAGGGCGGCATAAAAATTTAATAATAATAATAATAATAATAATAATAATAATAATAATAATAATAACCACCTGATCAGTGGGTGCAGCAAAATTTCACAGACTGACTACCTACAATGCCATGACCGTTTTGCTAAGATCATTCACTGGAAATTGTGCCAGAAGTTTGGATTTGAGTACAGCAAAAACCACTGGGAACATCAGGTTGAGAAAGTTTTAGAGAATGAGACACTCAAGATCTTGTGGGACTTTAGGATTCAGACTGACAGGCACTTGATCCACAACATACCTGACATAACAATAGTTGAAAAGAAAAAAGTATGGTTCATTGACATTGCAATACCTGGTGATGCACGGATTGAAGATAAGCAGCAAGAAAAAATCACAAAAAAAAAGATCTGAAGCAAAGGGCATGAAAGTTACATATTGAAAGTATACCCAAATCCCTCCCTGCAAGGACCCAGGCTGAATGCCCAATCCCCAACCCATATGGTGTCATGTGGGGTACATCTTCAGCAGTTTTCGCCCATCTGGTATTCCGGGATGGTTTACCTTGACTGGGTATAAACAAGTCCATTCAGCTGAGCAGTAGATCATAAGAGCATCTCTCCCTTTTGGTTCACACACAGGCCGTCTTCACTTCAGCTCACTTCCCACCCTCCCAATGCCAATCTTTCCCCCCCTCCCCATTACTATGGCAGCTGATCGAAAGCAAGCATCAAAGAGGCTGACAGTGTGTTTGTTAAAAAAATCTTTAGCAGTAAAAACAGCTTTTGAGCAGCTGGAAGGAGCATGTTTTTCCACTGAGGTCTATACCGATGTTAAAAATTCAGAAATACCGCATAAAACTCAGCTCTTTTCCCCAAGGCAACTGAAATGGAATTGATATTTCTTTTGCTTTGGCTTTTATATTTCTTAATTTGTTGCACATATGCTGTTCTGCAAGGCTGGGTTTTATTTATTTATTTATTTATTTATTTTTCTTTAATTTATATGCCGCCCTTCTCCGGAGACTCAGGGCGGCTTACAATGCGTTAAGCAATAGCCTTCATACTTTTGTATATTTATACAAAGTCAGCTTATTGCCCCCACAATCCGGGTCCTCATTTCACCTACCTTAGAAAGGATGGAAGGCTGAGTCAACCTTGAGCCTGGTGAGATTCGAACTTGCAGTAATTGCAAGCAGCAGATGTTAATAACAGTGCTTCAGTCCACTGTACTACAGGCTCTGTAGTTAGTTTATTAGAGAGAATCTTGCCAGATTGAACCCTTCGTTCTGTGATCTGAAAGGATATACCCTGGGGGATTCTGGGGTGCGTGGGGTGCTATCCTTACTCTCTTCCTCTGTCTCATATCCAGCTCTGGGGTGTGCTGCCTCTTGTGTCCCCCCTTGTAGAATGTGCTGCCCCCTTCCTGGAAAAGGAAGGACTATGTCATGGTAGTCCATCAATGCCAGTTCCTCCTCCATATGTAAAATCCGCTTTTGAGACTTCTGGGCAGGACAAGAGGTAATAGATGGAAGATTATCAAAGTGTGATCCAACCTAAAATTAAGAAGTGACAACACTTAAATCAGTGGAGTGGCTTGCCTTCAGAAGCTATGGATGCTCCACCACTGGAGTTTGCAAGAAGTGGTTGGTAACCCTTTGCCTAGAATAGCGTAAGTTCTCCTACTCAAGCAGGGGGTTAGACTAGATTACCCCCAAGGACCCTTCCAACTCTGTTATTCTAAGTTCTAAGAATCTTGCTGGGTTGAACCCTTCCTTCTCTTATCCTAATGGATATATCCTGGGAAATTCTAGAGAGGGGCTATCCTAACTCACTTCCTGTCTTGTATCTAGCTCTGGAGTTTGCTGCCTCTTGTCCATCCTCCCACCCAAGGGTGAAATGCTACCGGTTCAGGCTGGTTCATCGAACCAGTAGTAAAAAAAGTAAAAAAAAAAAAAAAAAAACTTCCGAAGATTAGCTGAGCAACGTGAGATCTTTGGAACTTGTTTTTTTTTATTTTTTAAAGCATTTTTAACTACCAGTTCCGGAGAACCGGTAGTAAAAAAATGCTTAAAAAGTTTAAAAAAAAATTCCGATGATCACGTGTTACTCAGCTGATCTTTGGAACTTTTTTTTACCTCTTTAAAGGATTTTTTACTATCGGTTCTCTGGAACTGGTAGTAAAAAATACTTTAAAAAGATATTTTAAAAAAGGTTCCAATGATCGTATGCCACAGCTGAGATCGTCAGAACCTTTTTTTTTTTAACCTTTTTAAAGCATTTTTTACTACTGGTTCTCCAGAACTGGTAGTTAAAAATGTAGAAATAAAGTAAAAAATGCTTTAAAAAGGTAAAAAATATATTAAAAAAGGGTTCTGACGATCACAGCTGTAGTGCGCGAGCTTGGGAATTTTCAAAACTTTTTTAAAGCATTTTTTTCCTACTGGTTCTCCAGAACTGGTAGTAAAAAATGCTTTAAAAAGATATTTTAAAAAAGGTTCCAATGATCGTATGCCACAGCTGAGATCGTCAGAACCTTTTTTTTTTAACCTTTTTAAAGCATTTTTTACTACTGGTTCTCCAGAACTGGTAGTTAAAAATGTAGAAATAAAGTAAAAAAATGCTTTAAAAAGGTAAAAAATATATTAAAAAAAGGGTTCTGACGATCACAGCTGTAGTGCGCGAGCTTGGGAATTTTCAAAACTTTTTTAAAGCATTTTTTTCCTACTGGTTCTCCAGAACTGGTAGTTAAAAATGCTTTTAAAAAATATTTTTAAAAAGGTTCCAAAGATCACATGCCACAGCTGAGATCGTCAGAACCTTTTTTTTTTTTTTAAACCTTTTTAAAGCATTTTTTACTACCTGGAAGTAGAAGTAAAGTAAAGTACAAGTAACGTAAAGTAAAAAATGCTTTTAAAAGGTTTTTAAAAAAAGGGTTCCGACGATCACAGCTGCAGTGCGCGAGCTTGGGAATTTTCAAAACTTTTTAAAAGCATTTTTTAACTACCACGTTTTCCAGAACCGGTAGTTAAAAATGCTTTTAAACAGTAAAAAAAAAAAAAAAAAAAAAAAAAGGTTCTGACGATCGCACGCCACATCTGAGATCGTTGGAAATTTTTTTTTACCTTTTTAAAGCGTTTTTTACTACTGGTTCAGAACCGGTAGTAAAAAAAGGCTTTAAAAAAGTTTTTAAAAAGGTTCCCAAGCTCGGGCGCCGCATCTGATCTCCCCCTTGCTATTCTATTTACCTTCCCAAGCCTCCTTTTGCTGCGTATGCGCAGCCAGTGAACCGGTAACGAACTGGTTCAGATTTCCCCACTGCCCCCACTGCCCCACCCCTTGTGGAATGTGCTGCCCACTTACTGGAAAAGGAAGAATTATGTCATGGTAGTCCATCAAAGTCACCTCCCCCTCCACAGGTACCATCTACCACAACTCTCCAACTTCTGACCTATCAATGATATCGGGGTCCACATGTGCATTTGTCTATCATTATTGGGTAGGGGGCTTTAAAGCATTCCTGGCATTGTTGGTTTTTCTTTCTCCCACCCCATCCTGGCAGATGACCTCCCCCCGGGTGGCTCCATCGTTATGATCAAAAAGAGGAGAAAGACTACGACCCATGGCACAATAATTGAATGACTTAGTACCTGAAGACCTCCAAGGTCCTGACTAGGTGGCTCAGTGGCTAAAGACACTGAGCTTGTCAATCAGAAAGGTCGGCAGTTCGGCGGTTCGAATCCCTAGAACAGGTCTCCTGCGTGAGCAGGGGGTTGGACTAGATGACCTCCGAGGTCCCTTCCAACTCTGTTACTGTTCCTGAAAGGTCCCCTTCCAGGGCTATTCCATTCTAGAAAGATGGTGAGGTGTCAAAGAAAGCCGAGAAGTGATTATGACCAGCCTTTAATAGAGGCTAGAAGAATAAATCTGCATGGCTTTTAAGGTATGGTTTTACGACCAGGCAAAAAAACAGGAAGGAAACCAATATTGTTGCAAGTGTCTATGGTGCAACATTCGATAAACTCATGGTGTCCCATGTCAGGGCACTTTTCAGCACATCCCCTGATTATCTTCACTCCTGGGAAGAAAACAAAACAGAATGATTATTTTTTTTAAAAGCTAAAGAATTCAACTGTGGTTGTTTCTGAATAAAATGGTAAGCCCCCACTGAACACATCCCGGCATTCCTGTCAAAATCGAATTGCTTTGCAGCCAATACTTTGGAGAATTCAAAGATCCCGAGAGTGTTTAAAACTAGCACTAACACTTAAGACTTATATACCACTTTACAGTGCTTTCCAGCCCTCTCTAAGCGGTTTACAGAGTCAGCCTATTGCCCCCAACAATCTGAGTCCTCATTTTACCCACCTCAGAAGGATGGAAGGCTGAGTCAACCTTGAGCTTGGTGAGATTCAATTTACCGAATTGCTGGCAATCGGCAGTCAGCAGAAGTAACCTGAAGTACTGCACTTTAACCGCTGTGCTCATAACACTTCTTTTGGGTCCGCTAGTTTGACCATTGACAATTCCCTCCTATTAGGAAGGCAAATCTCCTTCCTTCTTTTATGAACACTCAGGAGTAAATGAATAAACCAGATATTTCTGGAGAAGCTCCTGTGTTCTGACATGACTTGGGGACAATGCCACGTAACTTGGATATTTTTATTTTTTTTTTATGTTTCAATTTGTATACCGCCCGTCTCCTAGTGGACTCAGGGCGGTGCACAGCCAAAACTAAAACACATACCAATACAAAATTTAAAATTATTAAAAGAATTACATACTTTGGCCCAAATTTAAAACAATTCGAATTAAAACCCATTGACAGATTAAAAGCTAAAAAACTAAAAAAAACTTAAAAAGGGGGGTGGGGTTTCACGCCAGCCCTGCTTGATGGAAAAGAAAAGTTTTCAGGGCATGGCGAAAGACCCGGAGATCCGATATCCTTCATATCTCCGAGGGCAAATCGTTCCAGAGGGCAGGAGCTGCCACAGAGAAGGCCCTCCCCCTGGGGGTCGCCAGCCGACATTGCCTGGCTGACGGCACCCTGAGGAGTCCCTCTCTGTGGGAGCGTACTGGTCGGTGGGAGGCTATCGGCTTAATTGTTAGATCCAAACTTGCTCAAGTCCTGAAGAGACCACCAACTCTCTCAGCATTCTTCTCTAAAGAATGTTTCCATCCATCCAATACAGGAGTGAAATCCAGGAGGTTCTGACAGATTCTGGAGAACCGGTAATGGAAATTTTGAGTAGTTTGGAGAACCGGCAAATACCACCTCTGGCTGGCCCCAGAGTGGGGTGGGAATGGTGATTTTGCAATATCCTTCCCTTGCCATGTCCACCAAGCCACGCCCACTAAGCCACACCATCCCAGAACCGGTAGTAAAAATTTTGGATTTCACCACTGATCCAATCTGTGCTGATTCTGAATTCCAAGCTCCCCTTTCCTGGCATCCTTAGACCAGGGATGTCAAACTCGATTTCCTTAAGGGCAGCATCAGGGTTACGTTTGACGTTGGGGGTAGGTGGGGTTTATGCAGAGGTGATATTCAGCCGGTTCGGATCAGTTCGGGTAAACTGGTAACAGCAATTTGAATTGGTCCGCCGAACTGGGAAATACCACCTCTGATTGCCCCCACCCACCCACCCCTGCCCATCCACTCACCACTCACCACACCCACCCGCCTGCCACTCAACCCACCCGCCAGCTCATGGGTCGCCCCGCCCACCCCGCTCTATATATGTTGCCTTTGCCATGTGGCCCAACTAATTATCTCGCCAGTCGCATCCATGCCTCAACCACTCTGCTCAGCACACCAAAGTTAAACATGCCGCCTACTCACCCTTCGATTCGGGTTGGGGGCTGGGACCCAGGAATGCACCATTCCCCGAGGCCTCAGAGCCACTGCCCACTCGCTGCCCGCCTTGGCCGAGTCAGGGAACATGCCTTGCCCCGGAGCTGCCGCCTGCTTGCCCTCTGCCTCGCTCACCTTCCTTCCATTCTGGTTACCTTGGTGCGGGGAGACATGGCAAGACTCGGCTGCCTTTTGCGGGAAGCCCTCAGCCGCCAGCCATTTTCGGTTGCCTTCTGAGCAGAGACACTGTGGGCCAGTCCTTCCCTGTTTCCAGGGTGGCCCCTTGGTCAGATTTAAGCACCCCATGGGCCAGATCCAGCCTGCAAGCCTTGAATTGGACACCCCGCCTTAGACTATCCGGCCACAGTCCATGACCTCAAGGGAACCCAGACAGCACACAAACAGTCCTAAAAGATAAAGGTAAAGGTTCCCTTCGCACATATGTGCTAGTCGTTCCTGACTCTAGGGGGCGGTGCTCATCTCCGTTTCAAAGCCAACGAGCCAGCGCTGTCTGAAGATATCTCTGTGGTCATGTGGCCGGCATGACTCAACGCCAAAGGCGCACAGAACACTGTTACCTTCCCACCAAAGGCGGTCCCTATTTTTCTACTTGCATTTTTTACGTGCTTTCGAACTGCTAGGTTGGCAGAAGCTGGGACAAGTAAAGGAAGTTCACCCTGTTACACGGCACTAGGGATTCGAACTGCTGAACTGCTGACCTTTCGATCGACAAGCTCAGCGTCTTAGCCACTGAGCCACCGTGTTCCTTTTTACAAGCAGTCCTATGTGAGCTGAAATTCTCAGCTGCATTTAGTTTGCATCTAGTTTGCAAACAAGAAAAAAAATTGTGAGAGAGGATAAGAACTCTGCTTACCATATAGATCATCCTTATTTGTGAAAGTCAAACGTTCATATATCATAAAGCATACGTCCTGCCCTTTTGGACACTCTTCAGGATAAAAACAAACGAATCCACTGCACAAGAAACAAAACCGGGTGCACACTGGATAAAATGAAATAAAGCACAGCAATTATATTTTGATATTTTTCTATTCATCTTGCCTTATTATTTATTAGACAATAGATCGTGTAATAATAAATTCAGCAATAAATTTTTTCACTAGAAATATAAAATAGTCTATAAATAAGGAAAGTATGAGTTCCTTATTTTTATGCATGACAGCCAGATGGGTGACTCTGGGTCAGTCTCTCCTTCACAGGTTTATTGTTTTGGGGAAAAACAAGAGGCTAGAGTATTAGGTTAGATCACCAACTGGAGTTATTTATAAAAACCACAAAGGAGGCAGGATTTGAAACATCAACTTTTCTGTAAACAGCCAGAAAAAAAATAAGCAGCCAGCAACCTCAGTGGCTGGTCTCTGTTTGGAAGCTAAGCAGGGTTGGGGCTGGATGATCCTAGGATGGGAGACCTCCACGGCTTCAGAAAATTACAGCAATTGTGGTCTGTGCCACCTGTAAAACATTTTATAAAGATTTTCTTTATCTGCCGAAGCCATGGTCAATTTATAGTTCCTGTCCCAAAGTATTTGCCATTTCTCTAATTCTGTAGTGATTCCATGACAGAATACACTACGCAAAGGAACCTCTACTTTCAGAGGCAACATACTCCAGAATGCCTGGCTAGCTCATGCTAGACACTACCTCAACTATGGGCTTCTCCCCAAATGGAGACCCCACTCTTCTGCCCTGGAAGCTCCCATGGACTCTCCTTATGCAGAGCAGAACGGTGAGAAAGTCCCACCAAAAGGATGGAGCCCGACTGCCTCAAACGCCATACCTCCCTCTGTCCATTCAATCTTAGTTTGACCATCACCCAAGATCAAAGCTTAGTGACCTTACCTGGGTCCATGTACATAAATGTCACCACCACCAACAGGAGCGGTAAAGCCTTCATCTTGCAATCTTCTCTGCAGCCTTCAAAGTGAAGCCTAAAAAGGAACGGGCACTTATATATACCCCTCTGAGATGTTTTATTTTTGGGTGTGTGTGTGGTGAGGCTGGACATCAAGGATTAAGAGAGAAGAATAAGGAGACCCAGGTGAGAAAGGAACAGTGGAAGGTGTGTAGTCTCTTTTGCCCCCGACACGAAAATTACATCAGACCATGGGAAGAACCAACCAGTTTCTGTCTTCAAGGTAAGCACTTCCGTTCCGTGTGCAAAATTTGTGCACCTGGACAATTGGCATCTTACCAGGTAGAACCCTTCCTGAATTTACACATCGGGTACAGAGTACAGGATTTTAAAAAAAAATCTCTCTGGAAAGTTCTGTGGCTTCTTTTTGTTGTTGTTAGTTGCAAAGTCGTGTCCGACCCATCGCGACCCCCATGGACAACATTCCTACAGGCTTTCCCTGTTCTTTGTTAAAGTAGCATTGTTGGTTTTTCTTTCTCCCACCCCACCTCATCCTGGCAGATGACGTCCCATGGGGGCTTCATTGTTATGATCAAAAAGAGGGGAAAGACTAGGACCCATGGCATGATACACTACATGCGCTAGTGGCTACTACCCTGATGGTGATCAGGAGGACCTTCAAGAGGTACCTTTCTCCCAGGTTTAGGTTTAGGTTTATTTGATTTGTATACCGCCCTACTCCCGAAGGACTCAGGGTAGTGAACAGCCAACAATAAAATACATAAACACAAAAAATTTAAAAACCAGATAAAATCAAATTAAATCATTTTGGCCCAGACAGATTAAAACACCCCAATAATTTAAAAACAGATTAAAATTTACCTATTTAAAAAAGGGAAGAAATTAGGCCAAGCCCGCCTGATGGAATAAAAAGGTCTTCACAGCGCGGCGGAAGGTGCGCAGATCCGGGATCCTCCGTATCTCCGGGGGGAGCTCATTCCAGACGGTAGGTGCCCCCACAGAGAAGGCTCTCCCCCTAGGGGCCGCCAGTCGACACTGTTTGGCTGACAGCACCCGGAGGAGTCCCTCTCTATGAGAGCGTACTGGCCGGTGGGAGGCTATTGGTGGTAGTAGGCGGTCCCGTAAATAACCAGGCCCTAAGCCATGGAGCGCTTTAAAGGTGGTAACCAAAACCTTGAAGCGCACCCGGAAGACCACCGGGAGCCAGTGCAGCTCGTGCAGGAGAGGTGTTACATGGGAGCGCCATGTCGCTCCCATTACCACCCGCGCGGCCGCACTCTGCGCCAGTTGGAGCCTCCGGGTGCTCCTCAAGGGGAGCCCCATGTAGAGAGCATTACAATAGTCCAGGCGGGAGGTGACGAGGGCATGAGTGACCGTGCGTAACGAGTCCCGATCCAGAAAGGGACGCAACTGGCGAATCAGGCAAACCTGATGAAAAATCCTCCTGGTCACGGCCGTCAAGTGCTCTTCTAAAGACAGCCGTGAGTCCAGGAGGATGCCCAAGTTGCGAGCCCTCTCCGTGGGGGCCAATGATTCGCCCCCAATAGTCAGTGATGGCGTCAACCCAGGCTTTGGGCAATTAAATGGACCTTTAAAAAATTCCGCAATAGCCCCAGCAGGCACCATAAATTAGTCTATAACAGAAAAAAGGGCCTGTCATCCTTTGGTCCACACACACCCTCCTCTATTTCAAGGCATCGTTTCCTTACTCTCAGCTTGCTCCAGAGAGAAGAAAGGGAGGGAAGGAGCATCATTGGTGTCAACTCACAAAGCATCCCTGGCTTGCTCTTGAGTTGCCATAGGCCAGGGGGGATGGGAAACTGGTGAAACTGCATAGCAGCCAAAAACAGATGCACATCCCATGCTTATCTCCCTCAAGGCTGTATCCCAGGGATACCTACAGTAGTTGAAGGGGAGTGACCTCTCCAAGCCATGAAATTGCTCCATTGGCGAATGTGATTGATGACATGCCCTGAAGGGAAACAAGGTCATAATTGGAGCATAAATTACGTAGGGTCAGAGCTGGCTGTACTTGGGAACGTGCCGACATGAAGCTCCTAATAAATCACTGGATTTCTTTTGAAGCTTGGCTCAAGACTCATGACTTAATTAGGGCATCCGTTGCAACTCTGACAGTTGGAGCCTGTGGTGCCACTGAGGAAGGATGGTGGTTATTGGGGCAGCCTTGTGTCAGAAACTAGATTGCCATGGAGGTGAAGATGCTGGATGGACACTGGGAGGAGGTAATTCAGGCCTCTTCCATGGTTCTACTTTGACTCTCAAGGCTGTAGCTTCATTGATGGTTTCTCCCTTTACTTTATACTATCTGAAAATGGGGTTATGACCCAGTGAGCCAACCATGACTGAATTAGAATGCTCCCAGTCCTCCTTATTCTAGACCAGGGGTCCCCAACCTTTCAGACCTCAGGGACCACTAAATTCATAATTTTACATCCCGCGGACCACTAATATGATCTGCCTAATGACTGGCTGGGTGGGCGTGGCTAGGTGGGCATGTGACTGGGTGGGCATGGCCAACTCGATGTCACTCACATTGAGGGGCGCCTTGCCAGCCTCTACTCGCCCTTCCCCTCCCAGCTTCTTGCTTAGCAACAGAAATGTTGGGCTCAGTTGCGATCGTAGTCAAGGACATCCTGTAGACTGGGTTTTGCACTTTTTCAAGAACCTTTGATAAAATCCCACATCAAAGTTAAGTTTCTCAAGAAACTTAAGAGCCACAGAATAAAAAGGCAGGTCTTGTGAGTAAACAACTGTCTATAGAAGAAAAATCCAAGAATAGGAATCAATGGAACTTAGAATAACTTTATTGTCACTTTGAATGTACAGTAATCGGCATAAATTAAAATGAAATATCTTTCACTATTTCTTCTTTCCACCACAGTTTTTTTTTAAGAGGATAAAAGAAGAACAATCCAGTTTGGCAAGAAAGGAGGGATGATTGTGGCTGGATGCCTGGGCAAAAGAGAAAACAGATTGAAATACTTGTTCTCTGTAGCCAGCCACAGCTAAGTTCATGGAATGCAACATCAACCAAGAACGCCAAACTCAGCCTCCAGTCTCGGCGATCACACTTATTTTGGAGGTAGTACGTTACACCAAGAACAATCACAGCAAAAAAGAGAATTGAGGACCTTCTCCGGATAATCTTTTTCAGAGGGACACTTCTCGGCACACGTCTTTGTGATGAGCACCTTGGAGTCATTGCCTTCAGAGGGAGAACATAAAAAGAGTGGAAATAATGTGGAACAAATACCCTCGGCCGCCACAGAAGTAGAGTTACAGAATAACAGAGCTGGAAGGGACCTTGGAGGTCTTCTAGCCCAACCAGCTGCTTAGGCAGGAAACCTCATACCAGTGATGGCTAACCTTTTTGCCTTTGTGTGCCAACCCCCCCGCGACCCCACGCTTGTGCACGCGACTCCCCGCGGTCTCCCTGCTTTTGACATACGATGGCACGGTGGGCCAGGTAAGCCTGTTTTTCACCCTCCCCAGGCTCCAGATGTTTGCTAGGTGCCTGGGGAGGGCAAAAACGGCCTTTCCCACCCTCCCGGAGGCCCTCAGGAGGACAGAAATGGCCCGTTTCCTGACTTCCGGTGGGCCCAGAAGCCCCAAAAATCAGCTGGCCGGCAAGCGGATGTGAGCTGGAGCTGAGCTAGGGCAACGCTCTCATGCCCACAGATATGGCTCCACGTGCCACCTGTGGCACGCATGCCATAGGTTCGCCATCATGGCCCTATACCATTTCAGAAACCCTATTACCATTGGAAACTAATCAAGGAGAGAAGCAACCTGGAATTGAGGAGAAACTTCCTAACAGTGGGGACAATTAACCGGTGGAACAGCTTGCCACCAGAAGTTATGGGTGTTTCATCACTGGAGGTTTTTAAGAAGAGACTAGACAGCTTGGGATGGTAAAGGGTCTCCTGCTTTAGCAAGGGATTAGATTTAAAAGACCTCCAAGGTCCCTTCCAGCTCTATTCTGATTCTAATATAAATTAAGAGTAAACTCCACTCCTTATTAGCACCGGTTATGTTACCTTGTTTGGGTAATGAAATTCCTGCAAAAAAACAAAAACTCCACAACCAAGTTCAGAGAGCACCAAAGACCCCTCATTTTAGTCCTGAATTACAAATATTTTCCTGCATCAATGCACATTTCTTGGCCAAGACTTCTATCCTAAATATGGGACTTGTGTATTTCTAGAGAGTACTAAGGAAAGTAGGTAGAAGCAATTACCTTACAAAAGGAGATAAAGTATTTTAAAGTCCAGAATGCCCAAATAACATTTGGAAAGTGGACTCAAGTGGACAACTCCCTAATTCATTGAACTGTAAAAAGGAGAAGGAGGTCCAGCACAATCACATGTGCCTGCTATTCTCTCGCTCTCAAAAGAAGCAATTTTAGTCTCCCCATGAAGTTAATTTCTCGCTTTGGTCCAGGGGTGGGTTGCTACTGGTTCACCCCAGATTGGGCAAACTGGTAGTGGGGGTGGAGGGAGGCTCCGCCCACCCGCCCAGATGTCTCTGCACATGGGCAGAAGCTTCTGTGCATGTGCAGAAGCATTGCGCATGTATGAGCGCGCCCACGAGCGAATCAGTAGCGACCGGAATTGAAACGCATTACTGTTTTGGTCTACCTAATGTGGCTGATACCAAGTCCTCCAAGGACCAATGTGTAGGAACACATAGTCCTGGATTTACAACAATTGAGCCCAAAATTTTTGTGGCTGAGTGAGTTTTGCCCCATTTTACAACCTTTTTGCCACCGTTGTTAAGTTGGTAACATGATTGTTAAATGATTGTCAGAAGATTGCAAGAGGTGATCAGAGGATCCTGAGACACTGAACCTGTCAACCTGCAGAATAACTTCAGCTGAAGCCATGCTTATTTCTCCTTCGTTTCTTGGTTTTCCATTCAGGGGGGGAGGGAGGAAAGCATGGAGGGGTGGGGACTCAGGAATGTGGTGCCTCAGCCAGCTAGCCATAATATCTACCAGCAGGCGTGAGGACCAAGGTCTTG